AGCCGAGTAGTTTTAAAACTAATTAACAATAACAATAATTAAAAATAACAAATAAATTAATATTTAACTACAAGTTACTTTCATATAAAAATTACGTACCTTATGACTAATATTTGAAAACCATCATGATCGAAATGCATCTATATGTATTTTACTGCACATTTTTTCTAGCACATATAAATACCATTGAAATCATATGATTCCTATTGAACGCAAATATAAATACCATTGAAATCATATGATTCAAAATAAACACTATAGTTTTTTTATCTAACTTTCCCCTTTCTCTAATGTGTTGATTCGCTTGCTTCTTACTATGGATGTGCGTTTGGACCAAATACCGGAACCGAATCTGAAACCCGGACCGGACCGACCCGAATTAGGACCGAATAAGTTATTTAAGTCGGTTCTCGGGTATCTATTTTTGTCCAATAAGGGTTATTCGGTCCGGGTTATCCGAATAAAGGTTTAATCGGGCCTAAAAGACCGACCCGAATAGTGAATAGTCACTTGAACCGAATAAACCAAATTAACCGAAATGACCCAAATAACCAAAATAAACCGAAATAGTCCGAATAACCCAAATAATGAAATTCTATATCTAGTTCAACAAAAAAATATTAAAATTAATATATTTTTTTTCTTGAACTAAATATAGAATTTTCTTATTTAGGTTAGTCAGGTCATTTCAGTTTATTTTGGTTATTCGGGTCATTTCGGTTCAAAAGCATAGTGTAAATGTTTATTTGGGTTATTTCGGTCCTTTCAGGTTAATAACCGAACCGCAACCCGTATTACCCGAACCGAACCGATCTCGTATTAGTAAATCGGTTCATGTTTCAGTTCCCACTTTTCATCCAATTCAGGTTTCAGGTTATTCATGTTTGGGTCGGTTCGGGTCGGTTCCGGCCCGAAGCACATCCCTACTTCTTACAATCTTGTTATGAATTCCCAAGGCCATAATTAATGGTAATTTTCTTATAGAACAAGTTCTTATTATTATTATTATTATTATTATTATTATTATTATTATTATTATTTTTAATCTTTGAATTTTTTGTTAATTGCACTTAATTTGTACTTTTACTCCTTGTATGTCTTGCATTGCTTCATATATTTATGAAACTCATTCTATTTTTCTTATATAATATCACTTCAAATTGCTTAGTTGTTTCTCATTCGTTGTTACTCATGATCACAAACCTGTTCATTCTCAGTAATAGGATATAACCTAGCTCAAAGCTATATATATATATATATATATATATATATATATATATATATATATATATATATATATATATATATTCTTAATAAAAGAGTATTTTACAAGCCAAGTGTCCCTCTTTTGCACCTCCAACTTGCCACGTGTCCTTACCAGGATGTCTTTTGACTCAAATTCCCGTTCAATTGTTGTTTAGGGTAATATATCACATCCCTTAATATCAGCAATTCAGTTTTAAATATTTATCTGATACTAAAAATACCTCTAATAAACATAATTGAAACGCATTTCCTCACTATAATTCTGCCACCGATTTTGAGAGTTGATTATCATGAATCTTCCATACAAGAGAAATGATGACTGTGACCACCCTTCTTCTCTTCTAAATCACTTTTGATTCTTAATTTTCTTTGGTATTTTGAATTTTCTAGGGTTTTTAATCGAACCATAATCCTCATCGCGAATAACATCAAATTGACGGCATCATTATTGATATGGGGTTGAAGATTTGGATGGAGTTTGCTGGAAAGGGAGGTACGTTGTCTTTTCTTCTTTTTTATCCTTGAGTAAATTGGATCTGATGAAGAACACCCAAAACATCCCAAATTTGAAGTCTCATTTTCGGTTTTTCATGAATTCCAAACCTTAATATTACTCTTATCTTAGGAAAGTTCTACTTTGAACTTTGAAATGTACGAGGTCTGCCATCAAGATTCAAGGTGCGTATTTTGTATACAACGGCTAGTATATATAGTAAACATTATACTAAGACACAAAGTTTGTGGCTTTTTGAGATTGCAATGAGAAAATGTAAGATATCGATCATAAGTGTGGTAGATAGCCCACAGTAAGAGAACTTTATGCATTTGCATATGGAAATTTGTGGTACTTAGAGATGTTCTCTTTCAATTTCCGTTTTGAGTATATAAATGCACTGCAAAAAATTAGGTAAAATGGTAGTTGAATTCACAAGGAAATTTATGTTTTAATCTATGATTGGTATGATTCAAGCACTTATGGGAGAATTACAACAACCAATGTGATATATATATATATATATATATATATATATATATATATATATATATATATATATATATATAAAGATTCTCCAAATGCATCATTATTTCCATGGTGGTTAGGTTTATTCAGTTTCTTAATTGCATCTCATCTTCTGATGTGACTGTAATATTATAAACAACCATTCTCATTCGGTTGTGGTTCTCCAAGTGTGGCTTAAGTAGAGATGGTGGGGGCAATAAGGTCTTTTAGTCAATTCGGATATGTCGGTGTTGTTTATCTTTAAGTGGGAGTTTAGATTCAGTCGGTCATCATCTTGGATCTATTTATGTTAAAGTGAAAGCTCAAGGAGAGAACTAGCCTCTTGAAAGCTAGGATTCCAATTTGTAATCATTCATTTTTTAGTTCAGTCAGTTTCTATATGAGTGTACAACAGAAGTACACTTTGCTTCTTTACTTTAAAAGTAGATAGTTTTGTATTTGGTGTTATTATTTATATCCCTTTTAATTTGATAACTGAACTTGATTTGTGTGGAATGGAATGGTGATGGTGATGAGATAGAAAAGAGGAGATCAATGGACTGAGTTTCTCTCTTGGGAGCCTATAGCCTTTTTTATCATAGTTTCTTGGTGGGTATGATAAGACCTGTTATTCAAGACACATGGAAAATAATCAGTGAATCAACCTCGATTTGTCGAGGTAATGCAACGCTTATTTGATAATTCTTCAATTTACAAATGTTTTTCCTTACTTCATAAAGTTTAAAGATGATAAGAAATATAAAGGTAATTTACCATTTCATATAATTTGCTTTCTCATGTCAATCATTAAGTTGGATTTGGAGTTGTGAAGAAAAAGGAGAAATAATTAGTGATAATTACAAACTTCTACCTATTTATTTAAGGGATGTACAAAGCTTAAATGAGCTCATATCAGCTTATCTGGATCTGGGGTATGTGCTAAAGCATCATTACCGAAAAGAATAAGGTAGTGTTTAGTATAATGGATCAGAAAAGGAAACAATGGAATAAACTACTGCTGAAGGAAGGTGATTCATTTCGTTTGTTAATTTTCCCTTCATTTATCATGTAATGGAACGAAAAATTGCATTGTAACCCAATTTTAATTGTGGAATTTTAACGTCACAAAATTATCTTTTTTATCACTTAATTGGGTTTTAATAAGCCTCTTTTGTCTTTTAATTTTTTTACATGTGAAAATAAAAATTCTTAAACTACAATTAAAATGGTGTATAGAATAAGACTTAAAATTATGCATTGTACATACATTTTTCATATATATGTTTTTTATATGTTATCATTTTATTTTCCTACAAAACAGATTCTTCCTCGTGATGTTTTTGGGCAGTAAATGATCAAAAATTTAGAGGTTGCATTACTCTCTTTCAAAGTTAGTATTTACTTATTTTGTTGATCTTTTTTGAAGTACAAATATAAATGTCTAATAATTTTTCAGATGTCATTAAGATAAATGCTTAAAATATTGGCAAAAATACATTCAATACTTACCGTCAATCATTACGCTTCTGGACCTAACACACGAATTTTGTTGGCAAAATAAGGAATATGGTCTTATGAAAAGTCTCATCTTGGTGAATTCGGCATCCAAACTTGCAAGATATCCATATTTAGTCAATTGGCATGTCATTTGCTTCCGCATAAACTTCAACAACCTTTAAATTACAGAAATTTAAACAACTTTTAAATTATTTATTGCTACTTTTTATTTAATATGTATGTTAATAGCCATTTTCTTTCTTTTTGAATCTAGGAGGGTATAATTGGTAACCTGACCATTCACTATCTAAATATACAAAACGTAAATTAGATATTCATAATAGTGTATAACAGTGTATGTATTTATTTTAAAAGACAATTATAAGTAAATTGGATATTTATAACATTCTATATATTAATTTAAAAACAAAATTATAAAATTACTGACAAAGCTTTAATCTTTGTAAATTAATAAATTTTTTGTATTTATTTGATTAGCCATTATGAATAGTGTTAATCTTTCACAACCGTAATTTCTACGGGTTTAAACTAACAATTTTATAGTTACGGACAAAACATTTAAGCTTCTAATAAATACATGTCTGCAAATGTATTATTAATTATAACGTCTATTAACTTCTAAAATGATTTTACGTTGGCTCCGTGTAACACACGGGTTATAATCTAGTATATATATATATATATATATATATATATATATATATATATATATATATATATATATATATATATATATATAGGGAGAGGATCAAATGAGAACACCAAAAGGTTGAGAACGCGAGAACAATTGTAGACCAACCATTCCATAAGGGCATAAAAGAAATTTTACAATGTAATTAAATATGGATAATTAATTAATCCCTACAATCATGGGATGTTGTCTAATTGATTGACTTTTTACCCAAATATTAGAAATGAATTTAATCTATTTTTAATCAAATAGATTATTAAAAAATACTTTTTACCATGATTAAAAAACGTTTTTTTTAAAACAATTACCAATATATAAATAAGATTGATGAATTAATCAATTTCAACCGAATATTTGTAATTATGCCAAAATAAAGCATATTTGCAATCATATATGAATCCGTTGTAATCGTGAATGAATAGATGAATTAAATTATAATAATAAACGAATATAACACAATTTATAGAGAAAAATTACAATACAACTATAATCATAAATAAATAAAAACATATTGGATATATATCTAGATTGTACATCTATTCATAAATAATAACACAAAAAGTTACAATGTAATACATATCTATTTTTTTATAATCACATATGAATACAACATAAACAAAAATTAGAATAAAAACAATTAACTATTATTATATAATCATAAATGAATAAGTCAAGATCTTCTCCACTTTGTATTGTTTGGTTGTATATTAGCACTCCAACATTCCATTTGTAGAAGCATCTTCATTTCCTCTACACCCCGTCAAATAAAGAAATAAATACAATTAACAATCAATTAAATGAAACAGATTTAGTAAAACACATATGACGTCAAATTATAAATGAAGAAACATGAACAAAATATAAAATACATATGAATTCCTATAATTGTAATTATATTCATAAATGAATATATATGCCATTAATAAAAAATGATTACACTTCTAATCATAAATAAATACACTTGTAATTATGTTCAGGAAAACAATAGGCTACAACAAAAGCATGCAAAAACAATTTAGAAGGTGAATTCAAGTGAAAGTTTAAGTGATTTCATGGTATATACCAAACAAAGGACGAAAATTAGAACCCAACTGAGTTTTTTTATAATCCCAACAGCTGCCCCTTCAGGCTGCACAAAAATTAAATTTTCATTCAAAGAAATTACAAAATGTTTTTTTATATAAATAAAAAAAAAAGGTAACAAACCCTGCATCCCATAAGACGGTATAATAGTTGTTGTAATGAGGGCAATTGCTCCAATAATTGTTCACTATCCAAATCCCTAGTTCTGCTGTAACCCTGCACACATGACAGATCAGGTTATACTGTATCCAAATCCCTAGTTCTGCTGTAACCCTGCACATGACATGACAGATGCATTTGACTGGGATTGAGACTGATGTCAGAAAAAAATGATGTCATACCTTATTATCTTCATCTTGAGCAGGTCTAGGGATACGTTCGGCTTCAATGTCATATTTCAAGATTTTAAAGCATTCAAGTCGTTCTTCCAAGAAGAGTCCATATGTACGAACCCAAGCAGAACAATCCCAATCTGTTGAAAAGTTGTGAACTTTGATTTAGAATCGGTTTAAAGTGTAATATAATAAGCTATGAAAATGAAAGAAAGATAGAAGAAAAAAGAAACCAATAGGGCTTGAATCATCCTTGAAATTAGCTAACTGAAGAACACGCCCTCTTTGTTGGAAATTTAGAAGTTCTTACCTGAATGTTGGATCACCTTCCCTTAGCGCCCTATGTATAACTATTAGCGTCTTCAATGCTACCTGATATGTGATTTGAAACAAGAAGAGTTTGCATAAACTATAAACCCCCAATTTGTATCCAACGATAACAATGAAAATCAGAAGGAAACATGAAAACCCCAATTCGTAGGTAACAATACCGTCCAATTGCGAGTCTTGGCTAATCGTCTTGCTAGGGCATGTAAACAATACTGTACATCTGCTCGAGGCCGAATCGCAGATGTAGCAGCCAAAACTTCTACAAAAAACAAATACATTTAACAGTTAACATCTACAATTAATCAGTTATAGATGATGGAACTTGAAAGACGAACTGACTTCTGATGTGTCTCTCTTTGGGTGGGCATTCGACATGATTTGTAGCTTTAACGATGGCAACATCCACATCCTAAATCACACATCAACACCAAAATCGTAATTATAAGATAGAATTGAAGGGTAATCGCGGGAAGACGTGGAGGAACTGACGTAAACGACGTTGGGTGTTGGTGGTTGGTGGAGAAACGATGCCCGACCTAGAAAAGAATGCGACAATCGATTGTGCGATGGAGGGAGTTTCAAAGAATAAGAGATTATGGTGTGCAGGAGGCGATTTATTGATTAAACCCTAGATGTAGAGAGAGACGAACAAGGATACGGAAATTTGAAAGGAAATGTAGGAGTGAATGAGAAATTATAGGAACCGGCTAAAGTTGTAATTACCATCGTACCCTTATCACCTTTTTAAAGTTACATTTTAATACCAAAAATGTTAGAATTTACATAAATAGTCCATTTGATAATAACCTTAGATTTGAATATTTAGATGCTCCAGATCTGTTCTCGCGTTCTCAACCTTTTAGGTGTTCTCATTTGATTCTACTCACATATATATATATATATATATATATATATATATATATATATATATATATATATATATCGAACCAATTATATACCGAACAGGTATATACCAAACCAGTCATATACCGGACCAGGTATATACCGAACATGTTGTCTACTGAACCATATGAAATAACGAACAAAGTATAAAAATATGTCACAACAGTGTAACAGTACATATGAACTCACAAAAATACAGTATTTACAAGGATGTTTGATTGATGGGTCCTTAAACCAACGAAGCACAGGTGTTAAACGGCTAACAAGTACATACGAGTGTACCTTCGGGGGTACAACCATTAATGCGACATGATGGCAGACCTGCTCGATACAGGAAGAGATTATGGTCTCTCAACATCGACTATAAATAGGAAACGGATTGCACTCTACAAGGTACGTACATTGACCTGATCATTCTCAATCAATTATATCCTAAATACTTTCGTTTCCCTCACTGTTCACTAGATCACCATTATTATAAGTAAACCTTTTCTGACTTTACCATCGGAGCATTGGCCCGGGATCCCCTCCCGGTCAATCAGCTTATGAGTTGTTTGTTGTCTCTAAGTTATCCGTATCAGCAAGGAAGCAACAACCCTTATAATCTATGGAAGGCGAACCCATAGGCGCATCAAGTTGCGCCAGTTTGGATTGTTATTTTTCATTTATAGTAACAATTCAAACTTTTTAATGTAACCGTTGGGGCCGGATAAAAACAACATCTGGATCGAACGTTGACGTGACGGTTCGACGTACTACAAGTTTCATTATTGCCTACATTTAACAACCACTTTTTCCGTTCGTGTGAGCGGTTTTCATTTGGTCTCCTTATAAATAACTTCCCATGCCTGGCTATTTTTATCGCATTCTGCAACTTTTCTCTTCCGATTTCTTTTTATTCTCTCTTCTTCGTCTTGATTCATCATGACGAATAAAGAAGTGTTGAACATTTGCACCATAAAATCTAGGCTTTCTCAGAAAACTTGTAACGTCCCAGAAATAAGACCCGAAAATCTTTCATTTTTAAATTAAATAAACAGTAAATCATATCATTGTCATAAAACCAAGGTAATCAAAGTTTATCAATACATCATCATTATCAGAGTAAATCACAAAATACGGAATTGAGTGGTGTGTGCTCTGCAATCATCCCGGACTCTTCCCTTTGAAACTAGAAGTATCAGAAACATAAACTGAAAACTGTAAACACAAAGCTTAGTGAGTTCCCCAAAATACCACATACCATACATAACTAAACAGATAGTGGACCCCGCCCAATGAGTGTAACGGGCCCCACCCACACTCGCATAACGGGCCCCGCCTACTGAATAAACGGGCCCCGCCCAAACTCATATAAAGGGCTCCGCCCACTAAGTATAAAAGGCCCCGTCCAAACTCGTATAACAGGCCCCGCCCACATACAAATCATATAAGCATAACAAGATAATAGCATACAGAATAAGCATCGGGCCCCACCCAGTAAGCATACAAGCACATACACATGCAAGAGTCACGCAGACATATAACATCCTACTTAAAAAACCATGGGCCAACATTGGTGTCTTAGACCCGCTAAACATGGTGAGGAAACTCACCTCAAACTGTTGAGTCCCACAGATAAATCTCTAGTTGTTAGCCCGCTAAAATCCCCGCGCTATCAATCACAAAATAACATACAATTAATAATTGGATCCCGACTCACACTAAGAGTCCAAACAAGGGTAAAAGACCTTTTTACCCTTTAACCAACTTGGCCCAAGGCCAAAGCCTAATCCAATTGTTCTAAGGGCCTAAATTCCAAAATAATCACCCAAAGCCCAAATATGGCCCAATTTTCCAAATTGGGCCCAATCCCTTTCATGGTCCTTCAACCAAGAGAGTCCAATAAAATATCAACAACCTAACAATAGAATTCTGATGGCCCAAGAAGTCCCAAGACAACTAAAGTCCAACATGGCCCAAAACCGAGAGCCCAAAAGTCCAAAGCCCAATCTGTTGAGTACGATGGGCATACTCAGCTCGTACGCTTAGCGTAATCGCTTTAGGGCTTGTATGCACAACGTACCTGCTTGTACGCCCAGCGTACCCACCAACTCGGTCAACTTCTCATATTCATTTCTTAATCGATTAAGACTTTAACCCAAACTCGGATCTGACTTCCTTAAGGTGGTTTATCACAAAAAGTTGTCAACTTTACGTGCATGCATGGCTTAAAGGGGGTTCTAGAGCTCAAAAGAGCTTAATAAATGACTTAACACATGCATGACACCAAATCCACCATAAAGTTTACACCTTTATGCTTAAGAAACCCTTAATGTGCCCAGATCTACAAAGATAAGCTCCATAAACGTCCTTAGCTCACAAAACCAACCATAAAGGAACCAAACTAGCCAAAAGCAAGCCAAGGAATAGATCTATGAAATGAGATGACAAGCTTTGAACTTTATACCTCAAAAGCCACGAAATGAAGGTGCTAAAGTTGGATCTCTAAGCTCTCCTCCAAGGAATGAGTCTTCAACTTCTTCTTCTACCATTTCAAGATGCACAAAACTCACCAAAGATCAAAACCAATGCTCAAGAGCACCACACAAGGAAAAGGGACTAATTAGAGTTTTCAAAGGTATAGAGGCTGGTTAAACAAGGCAAAATGAGGCTATCTTATGGTTTATATAGGGTACAAGACCTAAAATTAGAGTTTCCAACTTGCTCACATACGCTAAGCGTGCTCCACGTACGCCCAGCGTTCGTGGATAAGCTCCACGGCCACCATCGGCTAGTACGCCCAGCGTACTCCAACTTTACTGAAGTTGGCAATTCTGCCCCCCCCCCCCTCAAGGACCAATTCTACAAAACATTACACCCCACGGGTCTAAACTGAAAAGCACTATGATTCAAGTGTTACAGAACTCTTGTTGATATTGTGAAGAAATATCATATCGACCCTGAGTTTCGTCCTTGTCTTCCTGAAACAGGGAGCCCCATCGTTGATGCTCCGGAAGGTATTGTTGGGGTATATCGGGTATACTTTAAATCCAATTTGCGTCTGTCGTCTTTTGATTTCCTGGAGGTAACCCTTGATTGCTATTAGCTTCACATCGCTCAGATTACCCCAAATGGTTTTCAAAAAATCATTTGCTTTGCAATGTTATGTTATGCACTCAAGATAGTACCTCTATCTGTAACATCCCTAAAAGGAGGTATAACTTCTCAAACCTTAACCTTATATATATATATATATATATATATATATATATATATATATATATATATGTCAAGATTGGTCCTTATATTAAAAAAGGTGGCATTCGAGTACGCGGGGCATACGCATTAGTACGCGAAGCGTACTCATGCACTTAGCATTGTCACGGAGGCCACCTAGTACGTTGGGCGTACCAAAGTGTACGTTGGGCGTACTAGGCTCAGTGAGAAACCCTAATATTTTCTTATGTCCCTATTTAAGGAACATGGTGGCCTCATTTCTAGCCACCATTATCAGCCTCCAACCTCCTCAAAACCTTAATCGCGTCCCTCTAGCTTGTGTGAGTGCTTGTGGCTCATTTGAGTGTTCTTGTGAAGCTTTTAGTGGAGAAGAAGCCTTGAAGGATGGATAGTTCGTGTTTCTAGCTCTTGGATCTGAGTTCTACTTCAGTTGGTGCATCTTCCTGAGGTATCAAGTTCAAAGCTTGTTCATTGTTCGTTCTAGTTCTTGTTTTGGGTCCTTTTTAAGGTTTCATGTCCCAAGTACGAAACTTTGTGAGTTTGGTGAACTCCAGAGTTATTCTTCTGTCCTTTTAGGTGTATTAGAGTGTTCTAATCCATAAAAATGAGTGCTTGGACGTCTAAATCTCTCCATGCATGAGTTTTATGGTCTTTCGTGTTGAGAAAGTTAGAGTTTTTGGGATTGGGTATTGTCTAGCCATGCAAAGGCTCAAAGTCAGCAACTTTATGAATTAAAAGGTCTTATTTAGCTCAGATCTATAGTTGGAATACTTGTCCTAACGGATTAAGACCAAGAGAAGTGGGAAGTCGGAGTCTGAGGAGTACGCCGTGCGTACTCCAAGCTACGCACAACGTAGAGTTGAAAATCCCTGTCGAGCAGTACGCCCAGCGTACGCACTAGGTGTTGACTTTTGAGTTTTGGGTCAATTTGTGGACTTTTGACCAATGAGGGGCTAAATGGTCTTTTTACCCTTGTGAGATTTAGTTAAGAGGCTCATTCTAGCATTGTGAGGTTAATAATATTAACTAGAGTTATTAATATTAACTAGAGTTATATTGTGGCATATTCGGAGTCTAGACCGGTAGTTCGGGTGCGAGATTTGTTTGCTTTTCTACACGAGGTGAGTCTTCTCACTATACCTACCGTGTGGTAATTTATGTATGACTGGAGGGTCTTATTTGTGTTATGGACCGAAGGGTCTTAATTGCTATATATGTGTATTCCATCTTTGTGACTTATGTTGTTATATATATATATATATATATATATATATATATATATATATATATATATATATATTGAGTTATGACCGTAGGGTCCATACCGAGACGTGAAACCGGAGGGTCTTCACTGAGACATATGACTGGAGGGTCCTTATTGAGACATAGCCATGAGAGGCTAATTATTTGTGTATGTGGTATTTTGGGGAACTCACTAAGCTTCGTGCTTATAGTGTTGATTTAAATGTGTTTCAGGTACATCTCAAGATCGCAGGAAGGCGCTGTCATGATTGTACACACTCGTCTGTTATTGAGGATAGATGTGGATTCTGGGATACTTTGACTCTGTTTTATGATGTTATGTATTTGAAATTTATATTTGACATTGGTTGGTGTTAAAACTATGTTTTTGGGAAATTTAAAAATGAAAATTTTGTTTGAAAATTTGAGCAGTTACAATTTTGTTTTAGAGCCTTGGTTTGAGAGATTGAGCACACCCTCGGGTATGTCGGAACTCAAACCGAGGAGTTGATTAAATTTTTCAAAAAAAGAAATGATTTTCTTAAAACGATTTTCCAAAAGATTAAAATACTTTTAAGAGAAAAGCAGGACGAAGCAGTGTGTACAATCAGCCAGAGCCCGAGCGGTGATTTCCCAAAATACCCTTACTTAATTATATTATGAGATGAGTTATTCTTGAGCTATTAGAACTGTATGCTAGATGGTAGTCTAGGTATCTCCAGTAAGTATGGGCTAGAGTTGCCTAATTTGTGATGCCTTATCCTAGGAGGTTGCTTCTTTGATTGAATCTATCCTTGCTATTTGCTCTGTGTATGTTGTTTAGTTGTACATGGTTAAGACTTTATAGTCTTAGAATGCATGATTTAGCCTTTCTTCTTGTTCCTTGTTTGGTTGTGG